ACACACACACACACACACACACACACACACACACACACACACACACACACACACACACACACACACACACACACACACACACACACACACACACACACACACGCACACGCACACGCACGCACGCACGCACACGCACGCACGTACGCACGCATCCCACTGACCATGACAGAGTCGTACGAGTCCTGTGACTGGATGGCAAAGAGGTTGTTGGCAATGTGCAGCGTGCTGAACGTGCTGAAGGCCAGCCCGCTCACAGCCTGCACCTGCTTCCACCAGAACAGCGACATGGCACCTGCGTTGTGTTGTTGTTTGTTGGTTGGTGGCTTTGTCTTGTTTGAACTGGTGTCTCGTTTATGGTGCACGTCATGCTGTCACTCGTTTCCTGATTCATTCAAGCCTCAACACGAACGTGCATAGCTTGCTTACAAGTCAAGGTAGTAGCCAGCCAATCACACAGGCACACACACACACACACACACACACACACACACACACACACACACACACACACACACACACACACGCACACACACACACACATACACACACACACACACACACAGATACAGGCAGACACAGACACAGGCACACACAGGCACACACAGGCACAAACATGCACACGTGTCAATGCTTGCGAAGCGCGTTGACGGCGCGAGCAGCCGCCGCCGCCAACAACACAGTATCCCCACCACCTTCACCCGCCTCTCCCTGCTCCTTCTGCAGCTGGTGCTTGAGCGCGGATACGAACGCCGCCGTTCCCGCCTCCTTCCCACCAACATGCAGCGCACGCAAGTCCTCAGGCACCTCCTCCACGCGCCCCGCGCACGACACAAACTCCATACCATCTCGCCTAAACTCTGCCATGGGTCCGTCGTTGCCACTGGGGGCATCGCCAATCGCCAGCGCTCGCCGCACGTCCAGCGGCCGCGTACAGAACCGGTACGGCGACACACCCGAGCCATCACCACAATCACCACCATCGTCACAATCACCGCTGCCGTCTGTTTGCTGCTGCCGAACGTCGGCTGTGCTCGTCGCTTCACAACAGCCACTCTCACAACAGCCGTGCTCACCATCGCAACCATGGCTACCCACCCCACAGCAGCCACTGCTTCCTCCATTGCTGCAATCTGCGCGGTCCACACACCCGATATGGGCGCCGTGGCGACTGCGGCGCAGCCAGCCGATGGGGGTGGCCTTGTTCACGCCCAGCTTGAAGAACCACACGCTATTTGGTGCAAAAGACACCTCAATGCCGTGCTGCGCGCACAGGCGCTGCAGATCACCAAAGTACTTGTCTGCCACCGCACGTGGTACGCCCATCAGTGTCATCGACGACGGGTACACGCCAGCGTTAGCGTCACTACTCTTCTCCAGATGCTGGCGGCGGCTGTCAGTGCTGCTGCTGCTGCTGCCGTTACTGTTGTTGTTGTTGTCGTTGCCGTTGCCGCTGCTGCTGCTGTCATTGTTGTTGTTGCTGCTGCTGTTGCTGTTGTCACTGCTACAGCTGCCGTCTTTGCCGCTCTCGAGTTCAGCGATAGCGATGGCAGCGGCATCAGGGACCGAGGAGCAGGAGAAAAGCACCTCGTTGGTGTCGCACAGCACGGCGCCTGGCGTGGTGATGAGCTCTTCCGTGACGACGGCGTCGGCGCCGCCAGGGTGCTCTGCGATGCGCGCACACAAGCGGGAAAACGGCTCCTGATACTTGTCGCTGAGGAGGTGGATGAGCGCTGGATCTGCAGCCATGTCGGTGTACAGCTTGCGGAGGATGGCCAGGATCCGAGGCTTCACAAAAGCTACCTGCTGTGGTGTGAGACACGTCCCGCCGCTCACGGCCGATCTGATGTAGTCCTTGCTGTACACGATGTCGCCGCTGTCGCAGTGCCCCGTCACAAAGGCAGCGCCGGTGCAGGTTGCCATTGCCACCTGCCCAGCGCGACGGTACTGCGGCGGGATGTGGTCCCAGAACTGTCGGCGCGCGCGCGTGTGCGCTGTTGTGTTGAGCAGGATGCACCCGCCATCCCGCAGCCACTGCAGCACGGGTTCATAGCACGGGGATTCCTTGAGCGTCGGGTACAGTCCGCTCTGCGGTCGCTCCACCAGCGTCGAGTCCATGTCGCACACCAGCACCATTCCATCACAGCACCCTCGACCACTTTGCTTTGCCTTCTTCACATCATCACCACCACCATCATCGTGGTCGTTGGTGACGCTGCTGTCGTCGTGGTGCCTTCTTCGCCTTGCCATCACCAGCGACCGTGTTTGCTGAAAAGTGGTGTAAATCTTTGTTTAAACTTCGATGGCGCGCAAACGTGTCCGCGCCGCTCTCCACACAAATCTCATCTTCTCTTGAACACAACGAGCAAGCAAGACGCAGGGCGACAGTGTGTGTGTGTGTGATACGTGCGCAGACACATCCACAAGCAACACACACACACACACACACACACACAGACAGACACACACACAGACCGACCGACAGACAGACAGACAGACACACACACACACAATGGCTGACGATGGTGTGATTGTGTTGAGCAGCGATGACGAGGAGGAGCAGGAGCAGGAGCAGGAGTCGTGCATCAAACTGGACAGCAGCGTGGAAACCCTGCTGGTGGAAGGCGACGATGACACGCAGGATCTGCCCATCATCGACCTGGATGGAACAGCCGACTCCTCCACAACATCCACTTGCACCAGAAGTGGCAGCGTGGTGCCTACACCGGCGAACGTGGACACCACACCTGGATTCTCCTACCAACCGCACATCAGCACCTCCACCCCATTTCGTGCTTTGTCCATGTCACTCGCAAATTCACCAGCCACAACTCCAAACACAAGCAAAACCACAACTCCAGCCACAACAACGACGACTCAGCTGCCGCCGCCGCCGCCTCAGCAGCAGCAGCAGCAAGTACAGCAACAGCAAACAGTGTCGCCGACGACGGTGTCTTCCACAACAACAACAGCAGCAACAACAGCAGCAACAGCAACTGCGGTGACACAGCCGTGGTCAATTTCCAGATCAAGGGTGACCAACGGCAAGGCTGATGCGGCTCAGCGGACACTGGCATTCAACAACAACGACCAAACCACTCCCTCCTTTGTGCCCTTCTCAGCAACAGCACCAACAGCAGCAACATCATCAGCAACAGCATCAGCAGCAGCATTCATGGCCTTCAAGAGCAGTGCGACAAAGCCATCCTCGTCACCTCTGTTGGCGCCCGTTCGCACTTCTTCCCCACTCATGAAGCTGCGAGGCCACAGCGAAGCCAGCAACGACACAGACGATGAGTTGCCGCAGTGCCTGCCACTTTGGTCGTCGGTGAAGCCGACAGGGACAGTGGTTGCCCCCAACACGGCCCAGTCACCCACAACAACCACAACCCAATTAACAACTGCAGCCCCAACCACGACGACGACGACGACGACGACGACGACCACGACCACCACGACACCCACGACGGCATCATCGACAAGAGCAGCAGGGGCGGTGAAGGTCAAGCAGGAGAAGCCATTGTCGGGAGCAACACTGCCTGCGTCCAGCTGCAATGCCGCTACTTCTACTGCCATGAGTGGCGGAGTGGTGGTGAAACAGGAAGCGCTAACAACCCCTGTCAAGACAACCCAGGCCGTATCTGCATCAGTACCAACTACAGCATCCACAACAACAACAGCTGCGACAACAACAGCAACAACAGCGACAGCTACACCAACAACGACAGCAGCCACGACAAAGGCGGTGGCAACAAAGGCGACTCCTCCGCCACCACAGCGCCGGCCATATCGGGGGTTGGCGCAGACGTGGACACTACCGCGCACCGCAACCTTTGGCAAGGCATCGCACCTCGTCCCCGTCGCACACGTTGCAGACCTGTACCAGGCGATTGACATGACGCTGAGCAACCCGACCCTCCCGGCCGCGTATCTGTCAAAGATGTCACCAACTGTTGCCTTTTTCGAAACAGACAAACTCCTGGCCAGCGTTATGGTGCGTGTGTGATTGTGTGTGTGATTGTGTGTGTGATTGTGTGTGTGTGATTGTGCGTGTGAACATAATTGCGACATCGATCCATTGCGCACTCATACCTATATGTGTGTGTGTGTGTGTGTGTTGTGCGTGTGGCTGCAGAACACGCTTGAGAATGCTGGTGCGACGCATGAACCCGAGCTCGCTGTCCTCCGCTATCTCGACGCCTTGGCAGCGCTGCAGGTGAGGTGGTGGAGGAGAGAGAGAGAGAGAGAGAGAGGGAGGGAGATGGATTGCAGCTGTTGGTGCGTCATACTCACACGTATTGTGTTGTGTTGTGTTGTGTTGTGTTGTGTTGTGTTGTGTTGTGTTGTGTTGTGTGCGTGCGTGTGTGTGTATTGTGTTGTGTTGTGTTGTGTTGTGTTGTGTTGTGTTGTGTTGTGTTGTGTTGTGTGTGTGTGTGTGTGTGTGTGTGTGTGTGTGTGTGTGTGTTTCTTCAGGCTGCGCTGTATTGGCCGAAGCGGCGGGCGATGGGACCGTCTGTGCGCACGTGTTTGTGGAGAGCACTGCGTCCACTGACGCGCCCATCCAATGATGATGATGATGATGATGATGATGATGATGATGATGATGATGATGATGATGATGATGATGATGATGATGATGATGATGATGATGATGATGATGATGAGGGAGGGTTGAAGGCAAAGAGGCGATCAACACGACGCCGCCGGCGCGTGAACTACAAAGAGCAACAAGTGCAGCCAGAAGGCAGTAGTGCAGACGACGACAACAGTAACAGTGACGATGACGATGATGATGATGAGGAGGAGGAGGAAGAGGACGGGTCCCCTGCGAGAAAGCGGGCGCTGGTGACGCGGCGGCGGGCACGCGGAACCAAATCAACACAATCCGCACAACGCAGAGGTCGAGGTCGAGGTCGAGGGAGAGGGAGAGGTAGACGGGGAAGGGGGAGGACAGGAAGAAGGATGAGCACTGGTGACGATGAGGACGAAAGCGAGGAGGAGACAACACAACGCAGCAACGGCAGTGACAGTGACAGCGATAG